TGCTAGCACCATGGCGGGTGCTAGCAGTTTTGAGGGCTGAAGGTGGTCCTACATGTTATTAGCAGGGTGATCATAATGTTATGGCTCTTCTGTGTATGTAGAGCGTATGCAACCATACATGTATGGCAAGAAGACTCTTTTCTTATGTCTGCTTAAAAATCATCTAATGAGCATCTTTTTTATTTTTAAATTCATCATTTTTCCATTTGTCGATACCTGAACTATTTTGCATAATAATAAATGCACATTGTCTCTACTAAATATACACTTAGTTTCATTTCATCAATCGACGTCTATTATTAATTATTCCAAAAAATGTAACTTGCAGTTAACAATTGATAAGCAGTGTATATTATTCAATACAATTCATGTTTCATTTTTTTCTGATGTAACTTTTTTAATTTTGAAGTGATAGCTAATACGATAAAATTATATTTACTTGTATGAAATTATTTTTACTTACATAAAATATTCATCACAAATCAAAATATTCTTATTACTCTATATTTATTTTTCAATTTTTGTTTTCGTAATATATCATCATAGTTTTACATAGTAATTATCTCAATTAATTACATCAAATAATTAAGCTATTGTTATAAATATATCAAAGCATTAATTTTAAATAAATATATTCTATCCTTATTTACAGCTTCCAGTATGGAAGTCTAGCGCACCCGTATTGGATTGGACTAAGGCTTGATTTAGCTACAGGATGTAAGTACATTGTTATTAAAATATTTGATTACGTTACAGTAACGCTAAAAACACTATAATTATTTATGGATTGATATGAAACTGCACCGGATGTTTCTTAACCTTGTGAAAAAAAATTTAAGAGAATTTTAGGCATCATAAGTTCAGAGACAACCTATGGTAGGAAAAGTCATCATAGAACAGGAATCTCATGCGGTTTTGAACCAGTACGTTTACTTATATAAATCCATATATATTTCTTTTACGGACAACGGAAGTTCTTATTTCTTTTTCGCTTTGGCAACAAAATAAAAATATCAAGCATGTGAGTAATCATAAGTATGAAAGCATAAACGTATATGTTTACAAATTTCTATAAAATTTAATAAACGTTGCAGAAGCAATAATTTAATTAATAAGTATGCATTTAGTTCCTCTATATTAAGTTATTTTTATAAATTTAATTACATGTCAAATATTTAACAACGCTATAGTAACGTTAAAAACATCAGAAGCTTTTCAGGTCTGATATGAAACTATATAAGGATGTTGTATGTAAGGGGGTAAGGCTATATATATATAAGACAATGAAAGTCTTAATTTCTTTTTTGCGTTTGCAACAAAATTGAAATATCAAGTAAGTGAGCAATCATAAGCATGAAAGCGTTACGAATTTCTGAAAGAAAATTCTTTTCTTGCATGGACAACCAAAAGCTGAAACAAACTGAGCTATAAGTTATGAATTATTGAAAGGTTAAAAATGAATAGCTAATTTCAACAAACAAAATGTTCGATATTATGTTTTAATTATACTTATGCAAGTTCAATAATAATAATAATTTTATTAATTGGTATTCATTGAAAAATGAGTATTAGTCGTGCTATCACGCTTTTTATGTGTAATAAAAATGCTCGAAGTACAGAAGAGATCGTTGATGATAGTTATAAAAGACATGACACTGAGAGAATGCGTAGGACACGTGCTGATATGTTTTTTAAAGGCATAAATATTGTTTTGTTTTTGCAATTTTTTCTATTGCATGTCATTTATTTTATTTTTGTTTTATTTCAATAATCTACTTTTATCACGTTCACGCCGGGAAAAGTGAAAATACTGGTAGAAGAACTATTTCAATATTAGATAATATTCGGGAGGAGTTAATCTATTCTCAACAATAACAATTCACTGTAAGGAAATTTATCAGGGCGAAGAAGCAATTCAATATAAAAATTGCATCCGTTAAAAACAATTGGTAGTTATGGATTTTTATTATTCCCGGAAAAAAACTAAAAAATGAAATTTATTGTTACCAATTTTTACTCCGGTGCTCTGCCAAGATGAGACAATCTAGCGCGACCCACCGGTGGGTCACCCCGGCGTGAACGCGTTAACTAAAAATTTTAATTTTTGAAAAAGGCTTAGTTGTGAAGATTTCACTAACTGATTCAGTTTCTTAAGATTTTACGCTAGAACACATTTCAAATTTGTATAACTTGGTAGCGAGCAAAGTGAGCATGGTTTTCAGAACTAAGCATATAAGATTGCATAGCAATCTTTGGGAATCGAGTCCACAAGCTATATTAATTTTATGTTAGTTTTACTTTTTTTAATGACCAGTGTCGCAAATATCAAACAAACGATACAACTTTATGGTTTAGATATTTAACATCGAATAATATTAATACAGACATAATTTTCTTAAAAAATATTATGTATTAATGATTACTAAGTTATAAAAAACATCAAAGTTTGATTAATTTTTATCACCTCTTTTTTATTTTTTCAAGACCAAATTTGTTTGATAAACATATTCCTATTAAAATGCATTTGCTGAAATTTAGTTTTTAGTTGTTCACTTAATTTAACGCTTTCGTTAGAAGAGTGCCGTAATTAGCCGGCGTCAAGTGATACCGTTTGGTAACAGTGCCAAACTGCCACTGCCTATGAGCGTTCCCCCTCTAATGAGGTGAATCGTTTTCGAATCCCAGCCATGTTTGATCGATACGAATTCCGCACCAGGCTCGCACCGACCACAGTACTGACGTAAAATATTATCNTAGCGAGCAAAGTGAGCATGGTTTTCAGAACTAAGCATATAAGATTGCATAGCAATCTTTGGGAATCGAGTCCACAAGCTATATTAATTTTATGTTAGTTTTACTTTTTTTAATGACCAGTGTCGCAAATATCAAACAAACGATACAACTTTATGGTTTAGATATTTAGCATCGAATAATATTAATACAGACATAATTTTCTTAAAAAAATATTACGTGTTAATGATTACTAAGTTATAAAAAACATCAAAGTTTGATTAATTTTCATCACCTCTTTTTTATTTTTTCAAGACCCGAGGAAAATTTGTTTGATAAACATATTCCTATTAAAATGCATTTGCTGAAATTTAGTTTATAGTTGTTCACTTAATTTAACGCTTTCGTTAGAAGAGTGCCGTAATTAGCCGGCGTCAAGTGATACCGTTTGGTAACAGTGCCAAACTGCCACTGCCCATGAGCGTTCCCCCTCTAATGAGGTGAATCGTTTTCGAATCCCAGCCATGTTTGATCGATACGAATTCCGCACCAGGCTCGCACCGACCACGGTACTGACGTAAAATATCAACAGTGGTAGACGAATAATGGGTTAGAGCCTGCTTGCCGTCAAGCTAACCGTGGGAGGTTTTCCTTTCCAAGTAAAGTAAATGCGGGTTAGTTCCACACACACACACCAACATTTAACCCGCACCTATGCCCCTGAAAGGGCATTTATCGGTTAATGGCTAAGGTTAGAAGACAAGACAGATAGAAAAAAGAGAAAAAAATAGCAAATAGCAACAATATAGGGAAGAAATTAAAAAGAAATATGAAATTAAAAAAAATACAAAGAGTGAAAAAAGAAACGATTATTCTATTAGTTAGGCAGAGCTGCCAACTTGCTCCGGACAGCAAATATATGTTTTAAAGTGGTAGTTTATCAATTGTGATTCTTAGTTTAATAAATTTAATTTAGTAGATTTTTGCTCACCACTATTTCTAAATAATTCGTAAGCTTATAAACATCACCACTTTATAGTACTTATATCTTGCTATACCTTTTAAAAAGCAAGGAAAACTAGTCAAATATTTGCAAAATTTACTATGTAGTTATTCACCGTTATTTTAATTATTTTGGCGTGTCCGGAGCAGTTGGCATATCTGGTTAGGGCGTTTGATTAAAAAGTATCCGGAGCTAATTGGTCAAGTTTAGTAGTGGTTGGTGCTCAACATTGCATATTTTTGTAATTTTTTCATGAAAATTATTTCAGGATTTCCTCGCAATTGTCTAGAAAGTTAATCAGGTTGGTTGCCTCCTGTTTCAACTTTGTACAAAAAGTCCTCCACGAAGGCGAATTTTTAACAGTACTTGATCCAGGAATTTCTTTGTCTTTTGGAGTGGGTTCAAAATTACAAGGCTACGGAGTTGAATATTAGTAGTCGCAAACCCGAATTTGGGTCGGGTGCTCAATGATGGTTGTAAAATAAAATACAACTAAAAGTATATTTTGAATGAGCTTAATATGTCATATAAGTAAAAACACGTTTCTTCTGTGTGTAATATTTAGGAATGAAGTATATTTTGGCTCCTGAAGTGAAATATAATAAGAAGCCGTAAAATAAAACGTGCTTACTCAACGCCTCCTATAATTGAAAGCCTTCACACGTTTTTTTTATAGGTACAGGTAGTCCGATCAGACCACTATGAAGGATATCCACTTTCCGAACGAGTAATTAAATACAAAATCTAGTTAAAATAAGAAAGTGGTAGCAAATATGTTACTAATTTTTTAAAATTTTATTTATGAATATTATTGGTTTGCCTTATTCACTTGTCAACCACTACAGATTCAATTCTCAAATTTATAAGATGAATTTCTCTCAATTACTTTTATAAAAGGTTATGGGTTCATCCGCACAACTGGTTCACTTTTTAAATAGTCTGGGCGGACTACTTATAAAAGACCGTGTGGAGGCTTATTTGATGTAAGAGGTGATGGCTCACTTCGCAGTGTGGTGAACTATTCAGTGGCGTCTTTTCATCAGAGCAAATTATAGCAATGGAAGGTTTAAAAATTGTCGTTATGGATTAATTCTCCCCTATTTACGCACTCAACTTACGCAAAACTGTTTCGTTAGCTTTTTTTTTTTTAAATTACAGTTTTGAGCGAAATTCTACTTTTTATGTTGCTTCAATTTTGTTTGAAATTGAGAAATGAGCTTAACTAAATTTTCAATTTAAACCCACAGCGTACAAATGGAGTGATGGTTCTCCATTAGACTATGAAAACTGGGCACCAAATCATCCGGATCATAAAGACAAACGCCTACAGTGTGTGTCTATGGATGCTAAGTCTAAGCATTGGACATCAAGTCTGTGCGGCATCGTCAGTTGGTTCGTGTGCAAGTCTCCAAAGCGTAATTTTTTATTAGATTCTTTTTATTAATTTCAAGTTAAAATTTCGATTCAATTTTTAATTTTTTATTAGATTCTTTTTATTAATTCCAAGTTAAAATTTCGATTCAATTTTGAATTTTTTATTAGTCTCTTTTTATTAATTTCAAGTTAAAATTTCGATTCAATTTTAAATTTCTTATTAGATTCTTTTTATTAATTTCAAGTTAAAATTTCGGCTCAATTTGCCGAAAGCAATTATTTCATTGACTATTTATAGCACAATAATTCAAATTTTTTTGTTGTTGGATGCTTTTGTTTAGGGTCTTATAAATTATGTTTAAAAGCAGAGAATGACCTATTAAACAACTAAGACAATTAAAAAAAATCAATTTGAAGAAGTACCTTTCTTATTGTCTTCCTTGTTTTAACTACAATTTTTCAATTATTACGATAAATAAGTTACCTTACATCCATATTTAACATTATTAAAGTGAAAATTTATTAAAATGAATTTCGTGAAGATGCTAAATAATCCTTTAAAATTTGTCTTTGTTTCGCAAAAATTCGGACTTAACAGGATGCAGCCATTTTTTAGTCAACAAAATTAAATTATGATTAAGGAAAGGCTGTAAAACGATTATCAGAATTAGAAAAAAAAGGTAAAGTTGATCGGGGAAAAAAAAACTTGACATGCTTATCAGATAAATTAACATATTTTGATTTAACCTTTTCTAAAGCCTTGGTAAGTATACTTACCACCAATTTTTGAAGTCTATGGTGAACTTTTTTGACACTTTTAATTTAGGTTTCTATTTGTTAATAACTTCAGCTTTCTTGAAGTGCGTTTGAATAAAATTGGCAATCATTTATTAGTTTAAGAAAACGCATAAGAGTTATAAAATGCGTGATTTCTTTTGAACATTGCAGCATTTATAAAATTCATTTTAAATAAAGAATAATAAAAGTCATCAAGTTCCTACTAATGGGTCGTGCTAAATATACTTACCACCAAAAAATGGCTTCTTTATAAACTAAATGAGTTTTTTTTCTTATATCAATTACTATTCTTANAAGCCCATGGTGAACTTTTTTACCACTTTTAATTTAGGTTTCCATTTGTTAATAACTTCAGCTTTCTTGAAGTGCATTTGAATAAAATTGGCAACCATTTATTAGTTTAAGAAAACGTATAAGAGTTATAAAATGCGTGATTTCTTTTGAACATTGTAACATATAAAATTCATTTTATAAATAAAGAATAATAAAAGTCATCAAGTTCCTACTAATAGGTCGTGTTAAATATACTTACCACCAAAAAAATGGCGTTTTTATAAACTAAATGAGTTTTTTTTCCTATATCAATTACTGTTCTTATAACAATTTCAATTCCAAAAATACTTTAATTTACCTTTACTAGAAATAAATGACCCATTAAAGGGTTAAAATAAAAATTAGGCTGAATAAATGTAAATTTATTGGGTTACCACATCTTTGCTCAATTTATAAGGTCCTACTTATATTCTTATTAATTTTTCAATACATTTTTTTTATGTATTTAAGATACTTTTTTTAGGAGCTGAGCCTTATGCTGCTATCATTCCTACTCGGCCACCAAGTGAGTACAACAACCAATTTTTAAAATTTTTAATGTGAAAATCATTACTCTAAGATAAAAAAAGAATCCTTTCAATTAAAAAAAATTCATTGTGTATGTGTTTTTGTTAATATATATAAGATGCTTCCCGTAGTATAATATTGTTATTAACCACATTAAAAAGAGTGTTGATTTTTCAAAAAGGTGGTGAAACACAAAAATTTAAAATTTGAACATCTTTGTTTTATTTATAAGAATAGTCTTGATCCCATGGCAGGCTTTTGCAACATATTGAATATTCAATTATGCATAAAATTCTAAGTATAAAATTTAAAAACTAAATTCAATACTTCATATTTTGTAAACAATTGTTGTTGTTGTTGTGTTGTGTCCAATCCTTCAGGATCTAGCAACAGCTAGATCAGATCCATGAGACCATTTACCCTAGCAAAGTCCAGCACCAGAAGTGGACTTGCATGTACATCTTCCTGAGCTAACCCCAGGATATGTCCAGGGGAAGCCGGTAACAGATAACACTTAGTCTGGTAGACCTTTTGGTCGGATACAAAAGTCATGCATTTCAGGTGCCCACTTCTAGGTCTGGAGACAGCCGTTTGATGTTTTCTGTCTCCCTTGAACTCTAGAGTGCCCCCCCCGGGCATTTCCTACTAATCCCGGGATGGGCGGGAGGGACCAGCCAGACTCGCTTATCTTTAAATTTTATCGGAGAGAAAATCTCTTGATAGGTAAGAGCATAATCAGTGGTCGTCAACGCAGAGCAGCCTCTTTTAGCTAAGTTATCTGCGACTTCATTTCCAGAGACGTTAACATGGGTGGGGATCCATTGAAAGTGGACATCCCTATATTTTGCTATAATTTTAAGATTCTTGATAATTTGAATGCTCACAAGGTTATCCACACGACCCCAATTCTGCAAGTGTTGAATGGAGCTTCGGCTATCAGTAAGGATCCATATATCGCTAGAGTCTGTACTGTGAAGAATGGCCTTTAATCCCTCGTCTATAGTAATTAATTCACTTCTGAGGACTGAACAGTTATCTGGGTTGCGTCTTGAATTATAGACAATGTACTATTTAAAAATATCTGCATATTTGTTTCAGGAATAAAGTACTTAATATTTCTTTATTATTTATATTTAGTGGTTAAATGTGAAGGAGGGAGGACAAATGCATATTACTATCAAGGATACTGTTATACTATTGGGATCGTTCGACACAGTTGGCATCGTGCCAAGAGGTACTGTGAAGACATTGGGTACAAACTTTTGTCTATTCACAGTGACTCTGAAATCGGATTTCTACTGAGAATGGTAAAAATGTTTCTAATCTTTACTTTTTAAGGTATCGTTTTTCTCCAACTCTTTATATATTTATGTATAAATTGGGTTTTCAGCAGAGGACAGAGTGATTTCAAAATTAAAAACCTCGAAAACAAAAGAGCGATTGACGAACGAAACAAACGGTTTTTCTTCAGCATAAAAATTGTGAAAATTTTATAAGGTTAATTGTCAATAGATGGCGCTTTGCCGAGTTCCTGAAAATAATATAAATACAGATGGAAAGTACTTTTCTTTGTTATATTCCAATATCAGAAACACTCGTAGTTCAATTAAATAAGGTTTAAACTTCTTAATCCTGTAAAACAACCTTCTTTCACGTTTCAACACTGTAACTGATGGCTTGCGGCGATATCTGTTGGCAACCTTTGGAACTAAATTTCAAAAGTTCTATGAAAATTTTGTGCAGGTTTCACAATAATGATACTGCTTGTTTCATTCCTCTATTGTCTTTTGCTTCCAAGATTTACAATTTTGAAATCAGCCAACCCTTTTCTGGTCACCTTGTATTATGTAAGATCTATCTTTTCATGACCACTAAAAATAATTTACAAAAACTCAAATGTTGTTGGGTCATGTCACAAATAGCATGGGATGCTGATAAGCTATTATGCTAAAGAGTTATTGTCCAAAAATGTATAAAAGTAATTCCAAGGAAAAATATTTCATATCTGAACTCTCATATTGTACAGAAGTAATTTCTGGACTCCGGTTTCCTGTTTAAAAAAGAAAACTTGAATATTTATTCCAATGGAGGTATGACGCTGGCCATTAACAGGTTAAAGTTTCATTTTCAAAAAACTGTTGACTTTTTCCGGAACAGCAAATTTCGACTGAAAATTTTAGTCAGGCAGGAGACATTAGCGAGTGTAACTTCAGACTTTACTTTTTAAGTGAATTGAGATACTTTAGCTCTTTGTTGCCTAAATAGTGGTAGCTAAGCGCTTAAAAATAATTCGTTTTACACTTCTAGTGGTTTGCAACATTTGTAGAGTTGCAGACTGACTGCACTGCTCCGAAAAGACTTTAAAAAAACCACTGGTCAAAAGGATCAGACACTTCATCTGAGTGTAGTACGTGAAGCAATAGGAATTAAAGTCTTTAGAAACGACGTTAAAAAAATTACAAGTAGAATTTTTATTAAAATACGTGCACGTTACGGTGTCACAGTGGTACACCTTTATTAGACTTAAAGTATAAACTCCCACCTCTTATCTATTGCAAAACACTGCTGAAAGAAGGTCATATGTTCAAATTTTCCTCATCTTATACAGTTCTTTAACGTATTTCATGTGTCGACCAGGATTTCTGAGAAAGTTTCTACAAGAACAGAAACTCAATTGTTAATTATTTTGCTGTTATATCACAGTTTTCAAATATTTAAAAATCTTTAATTTTTTTAAGTCTTAAAATCACTTTAATATTAGTACTTTTAACTGTATATTTAACTCAATTTAATATTAGTGCGGCGTATAATAACTAATTATTTTATCAACAAATTTTTTTCAAAGTCATAATTTGATGGAAAAAATACTTTGACGCCTTGCGTGTGATAAAACTCATAAATATCATGTTAATAACTAGATACAGTTTTCATTAGGCATTTAAATACGCACTTCTTAAAACCATACAAACTTATAAAAATTGAAGTAGGAAAAATATTTTTTTAGATTTTCGCAAAAAGTATTCATTTTGATCCCCCCCCCAAAAAAAAAGAAATAAAATATTTGCTAATATTAAAGTGCTAGAATGAATTTTAGCAACAATAGTTAAAACATTTTGTTTCCCCGTTCATGATTCATTTTACCATTTTTTAAATTTTTGAACAGGGTGGCTAGAATAATTTGCTGTTTTAGAACAATGAGTATGCTAATTTCTGTGTTCTGTGAGTTGGTTTCAGTATTTTTGCTGTAACATCGGAAGTTTTTTGAACATCATCATAGGCTTGGTGTCCAAATGTTCAAAATGGAACAGGCCATAAGATATATTTTCCCCCCTCCAAAATTCTAAAACTTCGTTAGGAGAAAACCTTTCGACTTTTTAAGTTCGTCGAGTTCACAAAGCATTAATATTACATTAAAAATGAATTCTTCATTTCAGCTTTACGATAATAAGGATACCAGTGGGAATCGAGTGTGGATTGGTTTGAATTCTCTCAGTAGGGGTATTTTTAGATGGTCGGATGGAAGCCCAATAGATTTCACTTATTGGAACGAAAACGAACCTAATAACTACCAAAATCAAGAAAAGTGCTGCAATATGTATGTAGGAAATGGTAAGTCCTTTTATTAGTGCTACGACACATTGTCTCACGAACTTTTATGTTTTACATTTCTGTTGAAAAACCATTTATTGTCACGCCCTTCTTCTGTTTTCTTGATTAAGTAAAGGGGAGGGGTTGGAGGAAAGTATGTAAGCACTTCCTAGCTAACTATGTATACAAAAATTCTTTTAATAGTAAATATTTTGGAAGATTTTACATGACTGAACTGTGGCCATGATTTGAAAGAAAACTGAAAAATAAAAATACCATTTATTCTCAGTGCAACGTAGATATTCGATTGGTCTAAAAAGCCGGGGTTTAGAATCAAAATCTTCAGATACTGATGTGATCATCATCAACGATGAGAGCTGACATCGGAATTTAGTTTATAAAATTACTAAAAACGAGATAATGTGCAAAAGCGTACTCTTTTTGTACTTTAGAATTGACTTTAGAAATGGCTAGAAAGCTAGAAATTGGAATATTAGAAAATTAGAATTAGAATATTAAAGCTAGAAAAAAATTATCTACTTTTTCTGCTAACTTTGGTCGATGCAAATTTTGTATGGGTGAAAAATGACACCATTTCTAAAAGTTTCAAGCATGATCTTTCAAAGTATGCTAAATGTTTTACCATGCAAAATATTCCAAAACATTTGATGCTGGAAGCAAGATTCGCATTGAGTTAGTATAGTGTTTTCGTATTTTTGTCCAACCCTTGTAAATAAAGTTTCGCAAACATTGGGGAAAAATTATGAAATATCTAACAGGTCAGAATAAATCTAAGGCTTATTTTGCATTTGTTGTGACAATTGTGAAGCGTTTGTAATTATATTCGAGAGGATGACGTCATTGCTCTGGCAATTTGGTAGTCTCAGGTTCTGTCCTCCAAAGAAGTAACAAACGTAAGCATGTATTCTGTCTGACGAAAATCTTATGTTGGAGCCATTTATAAATGATACCACACTTTCTTCTTCAATATAATTTGCCCCACCACCCCTTTTTTGCAAAGTGTTAAACTTTACCATATCCCCCAACTCTCTTTTTAGATATCACGCTATATTATATAAACATCTGATAGCAGTGCAAAAACAAAACATAAAATATAGATAATTTTTCAAATTTTATTTTCTGATAAAATTTTTAATCTTTACTTCCGTTTTTCAGTAATGTTCGTGGGCTTGACAATAATAACGTTCAGATGTGTATTTATTTTAATGAGATAGATGAAAATAAATAAATAAATTAAACATATATACAAATATTTGATCTGCTGATTTTAAATCATTTTTTTTACCAAACTGTGCAATATTACACTTTTTGTTGTCCAACAAACTATCCAAATTTCACAGACCCCATTCTTCTTCTCCAAGTGATACTTTACTTTTGGGTTGCCCCTTATCGAATCGTTGTTATTTGTAACATCGGGAACCAAAACAGTAAATAAAAAATTTCCTCTCTGAAAAAAAAAAAAAAACTCTACATAACTAGAAATTCTTTCATTTTATTCAGAACTTGAAATTACACTGAATAGTCTCTCAAAAGTTAACTTGAAATTTCGAAATATATATTGGGTACTATTTAAAAATTTCCTTAATTCCAGATTGACAAATATTCCTTTCCGATTTTTTGAGGGAAGAAAACACTGAGTCAATTACATTTACATTTGTGTTATTTTACAGTTTCCGAACAACATCAGATAAAATAGAAGTTTTAAATGGAGTCAGTGCCGGATTAAGCGTAGGCGGGGTCCTAGGCCATTCAAATTTTTGGGGTCCCTTAGATTAAATTTTTTTTCTTGTATATTTTATATTTATTTAAATATAAAAGTATTTATATATCTTTTCACATAAGAAAGCATATTTAAACTAAAATAAGTATAACATTAATAACTAAAATAAGTAATAATAAATATGATTAACATTTTGTAAAAAAATTATCGTACTTTACTAATATATATTTGAAATATATATTTGATTTTTTTGTTTTTCTTAATTTTCTAAAATTTATTTTCAAAAAATCCATTTTAAGAGGCAATGGTCTAGTCTAGCCTAGAGCCCCTGAATTAGACAGGCCGACTTATCATTTATTGTTGGAGCAAAGAGCTAACATAAGCACAGCGAATAAATATTTTCAAGTGGTAGTTTATTAATTGTAATTCTTGGTTTAATAAGTTCGATTTAGTAGATTTTAATCCACCACTATTTCTAAACAATGCGTGGGCTTATATAATTCACCACTTTACTGTACTTATTACATGCTCATACCCACCAACTGCTATGGAATTTCCGTAGTTTCAGAAATCTTCTTTTCAGACGGTAGCAAAATTAATGTCTTAATATTTAAAAAAAATTCATTTCAGCGTAACTTGTCCACTATTACTTATAAAAGTGCAGGCCTTATGGCTAGATTCTTAAGTTCTGATAAAAGTTTTATGAGAGATCCATTTGCCTTAAAAATTTCTACTTTGGTTCGCTACCACTAGAAAGAATTATTTTCAAAATCCTCATAAGTTGGAAAGTATGCATGCTTTACATTTTTAAAAGAAAGCAAAAGTTGTCAACTATTCGCAAAATTTACTTTGTAGTTATTTACCGTTTTCTAAATTATTTTGGCGTGTCCGGCTCAGTTGGCATCTCTGTGATAACATGACTAATACTAACATAACGTTAACGTGCGAACTTGTTTGCTCCAATATTGCTTGATAGGTCAGCTCTGATAGTATAGGAGCCTTAGTCTAGCCTAATGGGTAATCCAGCACTGAATGGAGTGTTAGCATCGTTTCCTGCGTCAGAATCTTTTAGATCAGCAAATTACTTCACCAACTTCAATTGGGCAAATAGACATTCTGTCCTCTTCACTTACCCTCCAACATTTAAGGTTTTAGTAAAAGTATTTTCCCAGTGGTATTGAACTAAGACCGAAATTTTTAAAACAAGTATAATATCTGATAGAACTAACCCAATTTTTCGGTGCAGGATTACCTGCCATGGTTAACCCAACGGTTAGGGGATTTTAATTTATGATCCGGATAGTTTACGTCAGCTCTGTGGTCGATGCGAGCCGGATCAGATTTCGTATCAACCAACCAACTCTGGGATTAGAACCTAAATCAACTCATTAGTAGGCTTGGGCTTTTTTGCACGTGCCACCTTGGCTCCTAAAACACCGTTTATAATAAGAAAATATTTTTAAGTTCACTGAGAAATTTTACAATGCACGCTTTTCCCTATCAATGTAGAAGGAGTTCAAAAATCATAATTTCAAATTTACTTTTACGAAGAAAAAAAAAATCAGCAAGAAAAAGAATTATCTTTCAAGTTTTCTACATTCCATTTTTTTTCGTTTTAAAATAAAATGTAGATACTTTTATATTTATTACTGATTTAATGCTTAGGTTTATGGAATGACGAAAATTGCAACACTGAAATGAATTTTATATGCAAACAAAACAAAGATGCTCCAGATGTGGATGACAAACTGACAACAATAGATCCCCTTATAGGAAACTGCAAAAAAGGGTGGCTCCCTTATCGTAAGTATGAATAGTAAATTCCTTTCCTTTTAAACTGCAATGATTTGAAAAGAACTATTATCGAAAAAGTGACAGTAAACTTAACATTTAGACTAAATACAGGATATCCAGCTGAGGAATGACTGACTTCAAAATTAAAAAATTCAGAAACAAATGACATGTTTGTTGTGTAAACTCTAAAACTCTTATGCAGAAATAGTACCTACATTAGAAATTTTAGTTACAAAAGTTATCAACAGATGTCGCTGCAAGCTACCGATGACCAGAACGATTAGTTCTTGCATTGAAACATGAAAGTAGGTCGTGGCACTGGATTATGAAGTACCATGTAATTTGTTTCTGGAACTGGAATTTCCCAGGTAACACAACAGTTCTACGTCATTTGAATTCCTGGACTTTGTATAGCACACAGCAACACTTGTTGATAACTTTTGTTGCTGATTTTCAAAAGCTCTGCATGGTTTTTTTCGTATATCGCAATGAATATACCGTTTGTTTAATTCCTTTATCATCTTTTTCCCCCAGATATTTTTAATCTTGAAAACAGTCAGTCCCTCACTAGACACCATGTAGATGTTCTCATAGAAACGATACCTTTTATAAGACACAATTTAATGATCACAAACCGTAATTAACACTTTTCCGCGAATGACAGCAATACTGTCGTGCAATTGAAAAAATAACGTTAAGTGCTTCACGAATTAAGTGGCTCGACAACTGTACTCATTTTATTTCTAATGCTATGACCGCTATCAGGGTATTTCAAAAAACCGATAAAAAAAATTATTTTGTGAAATTTTTTTGCAATATCTAGGTTGCATATAAAGATTCCAAATATATAAAAATCTCAACTTTGCATTTTTTGTCACTCATGTTGATTTTTCAGTTGCACGGCAGGATAGTTGTCCAATTTTTGGCGATAAGTAAGCAAATGACGGTTATATCTGTCCTAATCTGGAATTATTGTAATAATTACAACCATTGATTATATACCCTTTGCACTTAAAGCAATATACGTGTCGCCATAAATTATCAACCATTTTGAATGTTAAATGTTAATCACTTTATTGTTTAGTTTCAACTTTATTTAATAGCCTCCAGATGTTGTATGGTAATTCTGCAAACAGTGGGTTTTGCTTTGTCTTGTAAAGTTCGTTTTTTTATGTCTTGAAAGAATCTCGAGTGCAAAGGGTTCACAAGTTTCAGCAGTAAACAGTATGTCGTGGATCATTTATCTTCGTTTTATTTTCTTCGGACAGGACACAACGTTTTTCTTAAGTAAACAAGATAAAAATTTAACACATGATTTAACACAAAATTTAACACATAAGTCACTGCTAAAGAAATGTAGAAAAGCAGGAGAGCAGGAAAGCAGGCCTGCTTTTCTGCATTTCCTTAGCAATGAATTATGTGTTCAATTAGTAACATAATGTTACATTTTTATCTTGTTTATTTAAATGTGTTTTTTGTAATTCACACTATTTTTATATACTGATCGTAATGTGAGATTACGAATTTTATTCTCTTCATTTTGATTGTGCTTCCATTATAAGGAAAGTTTTGCAAATAGATAATTATTTTAAACAAATTTCAGATGGTAATTAAAATTTTCCGGGAGGGGGGATGCAATATAAAAAGCTTCTGTTAATCTTTTTATGTTATTCATTATTTGCAAATCATTTTCTTAATTTATTATTCAAAACGCAGCGTTTTCTCCCACTTTTAAACTCACATCCTGTCCTTTAATTTACTTTTGGCTCAAGTATGCGTTAATTAAAAGTAAGGCATTTTCCCCTTTTAATGATCAATGGAACTCTAATGGCTAAAATTAGAATTGAAAAAAAATGTCCGTAAGTAAAGAGAAGAGGCGGAAAACATGTTGGAAGTGAAAAAAAGTGTTTATTTCTCTTCGAATCGGATCAACTTCTTTGTTATTTATCAAAATCTATCTTACTATTTATTTATCGAAGAGTAAAGAATTAATATTCACATTCTGTACGAATACTCTATCAGCCAGTGACGACGGAATTAAAAAACAGCGAAAAAAATAGTCAATTGTTGAGGCAAAAACGAAACAAAGGTAGGCGAAAATCAAACCAGGCTGTGATGAAATCCAATCTCCAACGCCGATGACGAGAGGGGAACTTTCAGCGGGTGAGGCAACGTTTATCTCCGTAGCTGATCAAACTAAACCTTTTTTTTTTCTTTTCTTTTGTATTTGTTTTTTCATCTATGACAACTCCATTCCTCAGCTATGTGATCGGTGCTCTCCTGTTACTTTTTCTTATCTTTTTATTTATATATTTGAAAGAAGAATTTTATTAATCCTGCACCCGTTTCATCAGGTCTTAACATCCTGCCGGCTTGTGATGATAGCAGTTGTGCGAACAAATCAAACAGGCACATGATTTAAAAAAGAGCAGAGAGATGAATGACGAGAGAGAGAGTGTGTGGATATCGGCAGAGAGAGAGTGTCACAATTTCGTCGTGCTGTTGCATAAAATGTTATGGAAAATCTTGCAAAGAAAATCCGTAAAATGTCTCGATTTAGGGAATAAGGGAAATCTTAGTAATTGTAATTGGTTTATCAAACAGGTCGCGCGATTCCCTCAAAGAGCAAAGGGAAAAATGTCTAAAAAATAGGTTAAACGACTGGATGTGAATTTAAAAAATTTTAAAGTGTGAGAAAGCGTTTCGCTTTTATCTATCTATCTATCTATCTATCTATCTATATATATATATATATATAAGTTCAAAATGAAGAATAAAACAAAGAAAATTATGGATAAATAGAAAAGTAGAAAAATTATATATAGAATATAAATAGAAAAATTATAAAAACTTTGCGGATATAATCGTGTGGACTGAAGAAAAGATTATATATTTTTTTCCTGTTTTTTTTCCGGTTTTTTAAATAAAATTTCATCCTTTTTTTTTTTAATTTTTTTTAATTTTTTTTATTTTTTTATTTTTTAATTTTTTTTATTTTTTTTATTTTTTTTATTTTATTTATTTATTTTTTTTTGTATATAAACTGTTGTTTGTTATTTTTTTACTTATTATTTCCCCCCCCCCTTTTTTTACACATGTCTATAATTTTTCTTTGTTTTATTCTTCATTTTGAACTTATCTAATGACTTCTGTTTACTTACAGCTTAAGCGCAATAAAATATATATATATATACATATAATTCTTGTTGCTTTTAGATGATCGTTGCTATTTACTGAGAGGCTCAGTTGCGAAAGATAGATTAAATTGGACAGATGCTTCCGAATATTGCACTAAGCTTGGCGGATACATAACATCCATTCGAAACTCAAAAGAACAAGGTTTGTGTAAAAATTTGTTTCAATCAGAAACAGTTTTTTCTTCTTTTGCATGAGAATTTTGAACGAATCTTTGATATTTTCTCGTTGCTAATTTCAAATCTAAAATACATCTCTCTTTACTAGCTACAGTTTTTATGCAATACAATAATCAATATTTAAGAAGGATTTTTTTTTAAAAATTTATTTATATGAATGCTGAGTGTCCCGTTTTCTCTGCTACGTAGGGAGTGGTAGGAAGAAGACTATAATACATTTCAGTTTAAGATGCTATATTTTAAGGTCATGTATTTTTTTTGTCTTACGTGTTACTTTAAAAGGACCAAATAAGTGTATATGTATGTATATAAACCTGTATGTTTTTTATAAACTTGTAAATTCAGATAAAGAATATGCCAAATTAAAAATTCCATTTTGAAAAAAATCTGTAGGTTCTGGAACAAGAATAATTTCAGGTTTCAAATCCTCATATCTGAATAAGGAAAGATCAAGTAATTGTATATATGCAACAAAAAAATTTGTTCCTATATTTACAAAAAATTATTTCACTGAGTTTTTTAATCATGATGTTTTAGTGATTCTTGCTTATTCTTAATTAGCATTTCGAAAGAAAAGCATTTCCGAAAATAAAATTAATAACTAAAGGATTTAAAACGTAGTTTTTAATATAATCTTAATAACAATAAATATAATAGTATATCTTGTAGGCAAAGAAAAAAAATTTCGGCATCATTAGAATTATAAATTTGTAACATTGTTATGTCAAATAGAACAAGCTGTTGATTTAGTATATTACCATACCTGCCAACTTTTAAACCCTTCCATTATGATTTTTCCCAGTGGTATTACAAAGGAATTGAAATTTCAATTTTAAGCAAAAAAATACGTTGTATTTGGAAAAGCCAAAGTTTTCAACCATGATGGCAATACATGATGGCATTTGTTTAATTTTTTTAAGAAGAGTGGTGATCAAAATCATTTAAAAATTAAGTTTATAAAAGAAAAAATAGTATATATTTGCTCCCACTTTAAATATGAAAATAAAATTTTACGCCAAATGCGTAAAAGTTGGCAGGTATGTGTTACACATATATATGTAGACGCATGCCCATATATCTGTGCACATATATACTCATGGGTGAAAGCCCTTATATAGCAAGACGGAAAAGAGAAAAACCTGGTACGTAAAACATTTCATTCCAGCATTTTTTTCGAAAAAAATGAAATATCTGTAACTATCAAGATTTCTTTTATAATTCTGGCATATATATAAAACTGCTTCTTTTCCAAGATAAAGTAGATATTGTTGAAAAATTTAAAAAAAGAATAAGTAAACTCCTCCCCAAAACTAGCTATAACTGAAATGGTTTTACTACCAGCCTTTCCTCTTTTCCGTCTCGCTTTCACCCCTGTATATACTACATACACATTACACATATATTTGTAGACTCACTTGCTCTTATACTGAATGCTATTTATACGCATCCTAGTCAAATAGAAAAACTGGTAGCACAAATTGAAGAGGTAGAGGTTTGCCGCATTCTTTTGAATAAAGCGATGTTTCAAAATTATCGATGTTTCAAAATTTGAAGCAAATTTCAACAAAAGATGACGCTGCGCAATAATAAACATTATAAAACGATTGCTGCTTCTAAGACTATTCCAATTGAATTATAATCACGAAAGTCTGCTAATTTTGTGCACTATTATTGCTGCAAACGATGATTGACTTCCAATAAAGTCTTATGTTGAAATAAACCTTTATTCGATATTCTTTTTACTTAATTTTTGAAATCGATAGTTGTTTATGGGACAACCTGTGTTTGCACATGTATAAATAACACGGTAATTTTTCTCGAAGAAGAATTATAAAATACTAGGAGGCTTCGCCCTCTGCTCGCTAGTGCTCGCCAACCCCCGGAACTGCTTTCGCAGTTCATTTCGGATTGCTCCGCAATCCGATGCTCGCTTTGCTGTCTCATTGGATACGTTCTTAACGTTTAGCTTTTGCATACTTTTTTGAACCCTGAAGTTCCGAAAACTTCTCACTGTAGAAAATTCAACCGTTTTTTCCTCGGCGACAATCGAAGATGTGGCACACCCATATTCGGTTAGAATCGAAGACAAATGCTATTGTGTTTACGTAATGAGTTCACAACTTCTTAATTATATGGATAAATACGAAAAAAAGTTTAGAGATTTGTACAAAACGCCTACAATTAAAAATGAAAACTGTTGCCAACGCGAGAAAAGAAATATCATTGGTTTTATTGATGCATACGTATCAGCGTTTTACATAATATAGATATGCAGTACATGGGACAGTAGAATTAAAGAGTATCTTTTTCAGCCTATCTTGCATTTTTAATGCAAAATGCGAAGTCAGATACTTGGATCGGTTTTCATGACACAATCGAATCTGGAAAGTATTATTGGATGGACAATTCTGACATCTCCTATACTAACTGGGATAGTGGTGAACCCTCCTTCTTTGGAATACAAGTAATACATTTACTTACACATTTTGTTTGATTCTTGCGTTTTTATTAACTTTTTTTACTCTAGGCAAGCGGTTCCCAATGTTTTAAGACTATGGAAACCTAAAATGATAGAGCTACATTTGGCGGATATCCGAGACTTAAGGAATGAATTTCATCAGCAATCGTGAATACATTAATTAACGAAACACTATTAATTATTTTAAAAATATGTAATGATCTACATTTTATTAAATTTTTTGAAAATATTTAAAAATTTAGTGAATGAGTGAAAAATAATATTTTTTCATTAAATCGTTTGATCAATAGTAGTCTTAAAATTAGTTTTTAGAACTCGCAGGACTAGAGCGTTGTCTGGTCGAGTTATTGATTTTATTTCAATGCATGCATAAACAGAAAATGAATGAGCTGAAATTTGGTTCACATTACTATAAAAACGAAAAAGGATGAAAAAAAAGCCCCGCCGAGAATGCTTATCAGAGAAACATACTTTATTAAATTTGGGTATTTTTATTTAATTTGAAACAATAATGGAACTTCTCAAAAAATGAATATATTTTTCATAATTCATTTATTATATTGTTATTTGAGAAAAAAAAACATTCTTTTAAAATTTCTTTCTTCACAAGCATTTCAAATAAATAATTTCGTAAAAATAAAGGAAATATTAAATAAATATCGGATTACAAATTGGGTATAAATTTAATTACAGGTTTTGAAAAACATTACTAGTTAAAAAAAATTTCTAGCGTTCCGAGGAATACCATTTGGGAACCACTGCTCTAAGGCAATATCTGCACAAAATTTTAAGTGTAAAAAACTCGTTTCACACGTTACCAAACACTTTAAATTTGACGTTTGCGCTCAGAAACACCTTAATTTTTAATTGTTTATGACTGCCTTATGAAACGGAGCTCCAGTTTGGAAGTGAAAATAATCACATTTCGACATAGTTTTTTTTCCATGTCCTCGGCGGTTACTTACTCATCTTCTCTTCCTCCCCCTCCCCCCAAAAAACAATTAATATCTTATCTGGAATGTTCTAGCTTTCTTTTCGATGTATTACTGAATAATTAACTAATAAATGCATTAGTACACTTCACACTAATTATGCCCCTTAAATTATTAACTAAAATGTGTAAAACCAGGAAGTCTACAGTTCACTAAAAATTTCGTGACCTTTATTCCAAATTTCATAATTTTCAAAGATTTTTGAGATAAGTAATTTTTGAAATACAATTCATCCATCATTATCGAAATTTATCTGGGAGCACGAGGCAGTTAACGTCCCTTTTCCCATCTATTTTGAGATTTCATCTTTACGTGGCTCTTTCTGGCATCTGGAATGCAAATTGGAGCGAAAAGAAATTTATACATATTTTGTATTCTAGAAAAAGGTGCGTCGCGACAAAAATAAGCTGCCATTGGCCTGAGGTTTATGTCTTCTCTCAAGTTTTTAAAAGTAAAAATTTCATTAAACCCTGCGGTATCGCAATTTGTGATTTTTTTCAAAAAAATTGCAATTTAGCCTTGGAATATGATAATCTAAAAAAAATCTACGTTGAGATCGCGATGTGTGTTCTTATTTGGGATAAACCATCTTGCTTTAGTTATTTTTCGGAGTATTTGTTGTTGTGTTGTTGACGCATGCCTGTTTAGGCAGAAGGGGTGCGATTGTTCTTGTTTTTCAGTGGCGCCATCTATGGCTAAGAATTCAATTTCTGCCACACCATACGTCACACCCGTTTATAGGGCGGACCCATTCATACATCCATTCATTCATCCACAGATCGTAATTTTGACCTGAATCAGAGAACAAACGAACTCTAATCCAGTGCCCTCAGAGGTATTGATTTGTTATGAGACCATGGAGGACTTTTGCGACACGACAGATTTAACGTGCATCAGTCACTTTACTACACGGGAAGTCTTAGGCCGGTGGGGTTTAAACCCACGAACTCTCGGACATGGGCCCAGTGCCCTACCGACCAGGCTATCCCCGCCGGAGTATTTTATTCTTGCATCTTTTGAGTTGCTCTAGGAGTGATGGGGAGATGTTACACCAAGTTGGAGATGCGTAAGTTAGGATGGGACTAATCATTGAGTTATAGAGTAAGCGTTTAGGTCTGAGTTCCATTTTAGAGTTCTGAAGAAGGATTTGCAATTTGTGGCAGGCTGCTTGTGCTTTGTTGGTAACTCATTTGACATGACAATTCCAATTAAATTTGCTGTTTATGACCAGACCAAGATACTCTGCGCTGTTGACAATGGGGATAACTTTGTTAAAGAAAACAACTTAATTTTTTGATAGGATGGTTTCTCTTTAATGTTGAATAATTAGTAGCTTAGATTTTTGTCCGTTAATTTTATACTCCCAGTCTAGACATTAGGTTTTTATTTCATTCAGCTTTTCTTGGAGTTTCTGTAGGGAAATGTTAGTTTTTTTTACTTCGTAACGACTCCAGTGTCATCTGTAAAAAAAGGTGTGATACTATTAAAATCTTGTCTGTCCACAGGAAAGTCGCAGGTAATAATTCATCCAATGAAGCTTATACTAAAGAATAGGAATTCATTTTTAAAAAGAAGTGATAATTCACAGATCCCCCAAAACAGATTTTAGTTTGAGACGATAGACACTCTGAGGATGGTTATAACTACCATTTGCGCAACGTCTAACTTTTCAGGAAGATAATGCGAAAATGACTTTCAAAATATAGTACTAAGATAATAAAATGTTTCAAATTATTCTAATATTTCAGAAAGATTGTGTGAAAATGACTTTCAAAATATAGTACTAAGATAATAAAATGTTTTGAATTATTCTAATATTTAAGAAAGGCTGTGTGAAGATGACTTTCAAAATACAATACTATGATAATAAAATGATTCAAAATATTCTAATATTTCAGGAAGATAATGCGAACATGACTTTTAAAGTACACTACTAAGATAATAAAATGTTTCAAATCATTCTTATACTTCAGAACGATTTTGCGAAAATGACTTCCGAAGTATAATTCTATGATAATGAAATGTTTTAAATTATTCTAATATATGAGAAAGATTGTGTGAAAATTCCTCTCCAAATACAATTCTAAGATAAAAATTTTTTTTAAAATTATTTTAATTTTTCAGGAAGATTGTGTGAAAATGAAATATAACTCTGCAACAAGCGGTGTTTGGGAAGATGATGTTTGCAGTAAAAAACTGCCGTTTATATGCCAAATGGAAAAAGGTAAGAGTTACTAGTCAAAAATGGCTTTATCATCAATATTTTACTGTATGAACATGCAAGTTAATATAAAGTAGTTAGTAGTTGTAAGAAATTTAAGTGCATAATTAAGCTTTGTAAAATGACGAGAAAGAAAAACCTTAAAATAAATTGCGTCAAAAAACTTTCGGGTTTTTATGAAAAAAATTGAAAAATTCGTAAAATTTGTAAAGCTCGTAATTTTTTTAAAAACAAAATATTTTTCTAATTACATTTATTTAAATGTCTGTTGAATGAAAATTTGTTAAATAATTAATTAATAAACAAATTTATTATGAATTATTTATAACTATATAGTCATGATTTAACGCTTGTTGCTCCATTCGCATTTCCACTACCTCATCGAATCACGTCCCCGATCACGATCAGGATGAATGGGAAAAGGGTTGCGCGAAGTCGAGCACTTTACGATAGAACAGTTTAAAGAGACCCATTACCGCACACCCTCGGTCCCTTCGCAGACCGATCCAAGTGGTCACCCACCCGCGCGTTGACCACAGCCAGTCATGCTTGACTTTGGTGTTACAATAACTCAAGGAATGCAAATATAAAAAGAGCAAAAGTAGTAAAACATTGCGCTTTTAATCTGCATATGATGACAAAAATATTAAGAGCAAAAATAAAATAACAAATACATAAATTAAACGACAACGTTAGAAATTAAATAAACCTATAAATACAAAATATCATTGTAGGAATGTAAACAACTCATTTGTGCAAAAGCTTGATAAACAACATTAAATAAGAAACTTGTAATTCAAGACTATCTCTAATGTAATGAATAATTTCAACAATGACAAAATACTTGAACTATGTTGTACTATTAAAAAATTCCTTTACTATTTCTTGTGTGAGGCTTTAGATAAAATGGTATCATCCACGAGAAAGAAACAATGTAAGCAAACATCGCATGATGCGGAAAAACCAATCAGATGGTCGTTCGAGCTTCTGATTGGAACTCTAGTCGAGAATCTATAGTTCATAGAACTATAGTTTTGAAAACTGTGAAGTCAATCTCCGTTCGAAAAAGACATGTTCTCTCGAACGCGGATCAGAACTCGAGTTTAGAATACGATCGTAAATCGAAACTTTTCTGCCTCAATCTTTCCAACATTTGACAACACCCATTAATAAGAACTTTGATTTTTAAAGAGCTATTTAAAGATAAATGGTAACCTTTTTTACGTTCTCAACATTTTTTTTAAAGAATGATCACAAATACAATTGTGATTGATCATAGATTTTGACCAGAAACACAAATGTCCATAAACACAATGAAACAAGCCACCACACGGTTTTTTGTAGGTAGTCCGATCAGACAGACCGCTATGAAAGTAAACCAGTTTATGAAAGAGCCATTTAATAGAAAATCTAGTAAAAATAAGAAAGTGGTAGCAAATATATGTCTTAAAATTTGTTTAATTTATGAATATGATTGGTTTGTTTTATTTACTTGTCTACCACTACAGATTCAATTCTCAAATATACACGGTAAATTTCTTTCAGTCACTTTTTACAATAAAATTTGGGTTCATGCGCACTACAGGTTCACTTTTTAAATAGTCTGCGTAGGCTACCAATAAGAAACCGTGTGGAGGCTTTCTGATGTAGGAGGTGATGCACAAGCGCACCGACAATAAACACAATTGGGGTATACGTGTATTTTCCACTGCACTAATTTAAAGATTTTTTTTAATCAGTTGAATGCCATGCTAATTTTACATGGCTTGCTCGTCTGGCCGCACGGTAAAGAACTACAAACTAAATTTGCAAATGTAACACAGATTTTGCTAGTTTATAAAAGGTTTAGTATGTCATATCAGGAAAAAGTGGGGAATTATATATACCTACGAATTGTTTACAAATAGTGGTGGACATAAATCTACTAAATTGAATTTATTAAACCAAGAATCACAATAATTAAGTAAATTTTGAATAAATTTTCTGCAATTCCATAAAAGAGTGTAAATTTTATAGTTCTATAGCATGTTATACGCTGTCAGAAAGCTGTTTTTCACGGCCAATGTGAAAGGTTAGTGTCAGTAAGCGGTGGCAGACGCAGCCTAAATGTAATTTCAGTGTCAGCCACCGGTGGTTGACACAGCCTAAATGGAAAATCCAGTGTTAGCCACCGGTGGTTGACGCGGCCTACATGGAAAGTCCAGTGTTAGCCACCCACCGATGGCTGACGCGGCGCTCAACGTGTTAAGCAAAGAGAAATTTTGACAGAATTTTTTTTTTTAAATGTGCACAACAATATCCGATTATGTAGCTTATACAAGTTTTAAAAATTCCTTCATTTAATTTATTTTCTTTCTTCCAGATAAAAAACTTCCAGTACCACCTTACAACCATGATATTCAATGCATTCATCCTCAAGGCTGGCTTAGACAAGGCGTTATGTGTTACAAAATGTATGGAGGTAACACTATGACTTGGGATCAAGCAGAGACTGCTTGCAAAAGGGACGGAGCTGAACTTATCTCCATAACAGGAACTGAAATCATGGCAGTCGCTAATTTTCTAGGAACAGAGGTTAATCAATCATATTGGATAGGTCTTCGAAATAGTGTAAGAAGTACATTCATAGTACCTTTTGCATGTTGCAATTTTCACAAACATGAGTTTATTTAGTGGTCTTGCGTCTTAGAGACGAAGCTGTTGAATTCTGAATTCAGAGTATAGCGTCATTAAGTTGAATCTGTATTAAGAAGAATCAGCAAAGTATCTGTATTTAAGTATTTTTAGTATTTTTTCAAGTAATTGATAATAGTGTATTTTTATTCAATCTGAGGGGGGGGGGGAGAAGAAATTGGCATTAAAATTATGCTAGTCAGTAAATGATATAAATAGTCTAATTCCTTGTATGTTGCCGCTCGTTGCTAATTCTTGCTAACATATTACTTTCCCAATATGGAACGTGCTGCATAGTTTATGTGTTTTCATGATCATAGCCACTGTTTAGTTTATAATGGTTTGAATGTTAACATTCCTGTTTTTCATCGATATTCTTGTCTTTGCGAATGTAAAGCTACCAACTCTTCTGAATGTTTCCGGGTATAATGTTTTTAATGTTTGAAGTGGTTAAAAATTTTATGTTTTATTATTTGAATTTTGATTAATCAAGTTCTAGTTATTATTTTTTTCCTGGAATTATCTTTGGATAGACAAATTTCATAATTGTGAGTAAAAATTTTCAATTTGCTTGAAAAGTTCTCGAGATATAGCGAAATACACAAGATTAAAAACAAGAATTAACAATTAGATGAAATTAATTGGAAAAGAATTATTAGAAAAGATTAATTAGATGCAAAAGAAAAATTAACATTAAAGGATCCAAACTCTACTGACCAAACAATCGGAACCACATTTCCCAGATTGCGGCGACCACCTATATTTTGGGGGTCAAAAATCCGAATCCGTCGAAAAAAAGGTATGTTTATTCAGAGAAAGTACGTTCTTGTGTCTGATTTCTTAACTTAAAATATCGGCTGCACTTATTATTTGGCGAAAATCCGATCATTGGATTTAAAGCTATTCAGAGTGGTCAGTTTTTTTCTGCGCATTTCACGAACTGGTTCGCTTTTCAAGTGGTCTGATTAACCTATGAGTAAAAAAATTGTGAGGAGGTTTGAGACATTGGAGGAGATGGTATATAGCTCATTTTCCTTAATATGAAAAAAGTATTATTTGTTGTTATTTTTTTTCCAGGAGGAAAATAAATTGTCATGGGTGAACAAATGGCCGATTACTTTGACCAAATGGGGTAAAAACGAACCGAAATCGTACGATGAAAAGCTGTGCTACTCAAGTACACCTGATGGATACTGGGAAAGAACTCCATGTGATCAAGAACTGCCATACATTTGTCAAATAACTACAGGTGAGCATGATTTCAATTTTAGTGCTGCATATTTTTACAGTTTCTAGCAAGAAGGCACAAGAAGGTTATGGACAAATAGAATTATTATAATAGAATCTATTATATATGTCTGTAGTTCTATAATAATCTATAATTATAATGATCATAATAGAATCTATTACAATCATTATCTATAAACAGGTTTTGCAAATTAGTTCGTCGAAGTCTATAAGATTAGAAGATTTACAAAGAGTTAATTTCCTAATGATACAAATTCCTAATATTGTGTGTCATAGTTGTTTAATTTTCGAAATTATTTTGTTATTGTTTAATATTTCATTAGTAGACATTTATGTAATTATTGTTTTGAAACTGAAGTCAAAATTCTCATAAATAACGGAACATGCATATAATAGTATATGTAGAATAACGGGAAGAAAAATATTATCCTGAATACTTGAGATTCCACGGACTAAGAGCCACTCTTAATGGCCCTAAATGTTTACGAATTATTTAAAAATTGAGGAATCAGACACAAAAGCGTACTTTTACTTATATTGAAAAAACATAATTTTTTTTTGGATTGAATTGACTATTTTACTGATAACAATCTGCCAAATAAATTTCAATAGTTAAGTCAGAGGCCGGTATAGTCTGGTTGGTAAGGCACTGGAACCATGTTCAAGAGTTTGGGGGTTCGATCCCCCTCCCCCCGACTGAAGACTCCCCGTGAGGTAAATGGTGACTGATGCACGTTAAATCTGTCGAGTCGCAAGGTCCTCCATGTTCCCATAACAAATCAATACCTGTGGTGGTACTGATCCATGAGTTTCCTTGTCTTCTGGATTGGTTCAAAATTACAAGGCTACGAAGTTAGTAGTCGTATACCAACAATTGGGTCGGCTGTTCAACGACGGATAAAATAAAAAAAAATAAAAAAAATAAAAATAGTCAGGAGAGTGGTCGGAAGCTTAGATCTCTAATGTTAATATCCTTTTTCGCGTATTTCCCATCTGAAAGTCGTATTTTTACACTTTGGTTTCTCAAGAGCTATTCAGTAGATTTCCTTCAAAATTTAGATTTTATCATATTAATTTGCTTAGCTTGAAATAGTGTAAAAATTTTAGTAACCTTTCAATTAAATAATTAGCAAATCAAATTATAAAAAAAATTATCGGAAATTAGTAAATTAAATTATAGTTTAATTTAATGGTCAGATTTTTGGAATGGTTCGTGATCCAAACTTCAAATGTTCTAATTAATCAGTGCAGTTGATGATTTAAGTGAAGAATAAACGTACCGTTCTTTCGACGGTCAATGGATTGACTTTCAAAACGGAGGTGTGTGGTACCAAAGTCTAGAAAATGTGGTCCCAATAGTTTGCTTAGAAGAGTGGTGTAAATGTCTGGTCTTTTAAGCAAAATACCTTACTTTCATATCAATCATCTTACTTGAGTTTTCACATCGTTAGCCTAGAATTGGAAGCTCTCTAAATGTGTTTGAAATGTATTTTGTAACTTCTTGCAGGTAAGCCACCACCTATAAAAAAATACGCTGGAGATTGCATCAAGACTTCTAGTGATTGGGTACCTACTTCTGGCAGCTATTGTCTCCTTCCAGTAAAAACACTTAAAGATTGGTATTCTGCATTCCTTTACTGCTTTTCATATGGTAAGTATTTTTATTAACTACGTTTAATAAATAGTTTATACCTCAGATGATTTCAGGGACAGAACGTACCCTCCCCCCCAAAAAAATTTGAAAAGTAGTAATCAATAAAAATCGTTAAAAGCTACTTAAATTTAATAGCTTACTTCTTTTAGTTTATTACTGAAAATAAATCTGCCAAATGTTTTTAACAGAAACAAACACCCTATAGCAGCAGTTTACCACTGGTGTTCTTCGAGAAGTTGTGAACCGCATGGAAAGGGCACAGAGGTTCTGATACTTGGATTTTTTTTGGATATGCAAAACACACATTTCCAAAATCATATAATTAAAAATTCACCGAAATATCATTCTTGTTAAGTAACAGGATTGGTCAAGTTGGGAAACCATGCACAAATGGAAAAGGTTTTTTTAAAATTATGCACGGCGGAAACAATTGCCCGCGTACTCAATGAAGATGCAGCGAAGAAATATTGTTAAAAAAAAACAACTTCTAGATCCGGGATTCATGTTAAAAAACAAATTTCAAATCCATGATTCATGTTAAAAAACCAATTTCTAAATCCGTGATTCTTCATGTTTAATGGCCAATTTCTAGATCCGTGATTCATGTTAAAGGACCAATTTCGAGATCCATGATTCATGTTAAAAAGCCAATTTCTAGATCCGTGATTCATGTTAAAAAACCAATTTCTAGATCCGTGATTCTTCATGTTTAACAACTAATTTCTCGACCCGTGATTCATTATAAGCAACTAATTTCCAGATCCGTGATTTATTATAAACAATATTGTACGAACATGGTTTCTGAAGTTGGAATTTTTATATTCTATTGACTCAAGTCTGGGTTCCCCCAGGCAGATCATTTAAGGTTCAATAGTCGAATAAAATGGGAACTGCTGTCATATATAATCATAACACGTTGAATGCCGCGGGGGTCACCGGTGATCGGCGAAGCCAAGATTATTAGAAACACATAATTCTAGTAAATGTTTAGTTTTCTACTATTATTATCGTTACTAAAGTGGTTTGAAGAAATTAATACAATATAGAACACACAAAAATAGCTTTATTTATATACGCAGAGATGCCAACTTGTTCCGGATAGTGAATAAATGTTTTCAAGTGGTTGTTTATTAATTGTGATTCTTGGTTTAATGAATTCAATTCAGTAGATTTTTATCCACCACTATTTCTAAACAATTCGTAGGTTTAGATAATTCTTAATTTTAATCTGATACGTCGTGCGAAACCTTTTAGAAAACTAGCAAAATCTGTCTAATACTTGCAAATTGAGTTTGTAGTTATTTACCGTGGCATTAAACTTGTTAATGTATGGTGATAGCAACGTATAAATTCTGTTGCGACTATAATTCCACCACTTTGATGATTTTGCAGCTTAAATGGACGTATTCCCTTGCAGGATAATCTGATTTGGGTTGACTATGCTTGCTTCAAATGCTAGTAAATGAGTTTCTAGTAGTTTTTGGTAATCAGTAGCCTTAGTGCTGCCGGGGGAACTACCATTGCCGAAGCATAGCCATAGCATAAGTTTACTACCATAGTCGAAACATTCCTGCAACATTTAAAACTCAATGTGGAGAAGATTGTTTATCTATTATTGTCACTGTCTCATATACTGTTTGTTTTTTTACATACTTTTTTTTCTTGCGATAGAAGAAAAAAATTATAAGTAGCCTATGTTGAAAGCTACATAAAAGCAGAGAAGAGTAGGAAATAAAAGAATTGTGTGCTGTTACAATGGCATGAAAAAAAAAGAGAATTTTTCATCTATTTTAAGCAAGGCAGAGGTTGATTAATAGTGTGTGAAGGCTTCAGATAATGTAGAAATTATAACCTAGTCTTTCCTTTAGGTTCTGTGAAGGGTGTCGATCAACAAAAAATTCTGGAAATCCATGTATTGCCGTTCATAGTAAAAATTCATGGATTTTCCAGTATGCAATACATGTAGCAAAATCTGCACTGTGTTTTGTTTTGGAAAAAAAGGCACATACTATGAACATCTTGCCGTTTTACCTCTTCTATATTCCTAAAAAAACGTGAGAGCTCTCCTCCGTAAGACTCTTTATACCAACAAAGTTGCGGTTTCAGTTTGTGAGAGAATTGAAGGCCGCCATCAATCAAACTTGGAATAATAATGATGTTAATGTCCATCAGGGTTTAGTTAATTGTAAGTATAACATGGTATATTTCAAGTCAAATATAAACATGACGGATACATTAATTATATTCAGAAGTAGTCTTATTTCTATGAGATACTTTTTTTTCTTATATGATGTTTTTTCCTGTCCAGGTGAATCAGGAAATGAGTTACTCCTTGTAAATATGTGTTTAAATATAGAATTTCTTATTATATATGTTTGGTTCGAATTAATATTTTATTGCGTCCATTTATGGCAAATAATCAAGATTGATTTATTTCATTAGGACACATTGCATAAATAATTAAGAACAAATACATAAAAGATCAATATATCAAATGGTTTTGTGTTTACTAAGAAATTTATTGGTTTTACTAGTACGATTACATACAATAACTGCAACAAAATATTAACAAATTGAAAATTTTTATAGGTAGCTACTTACCTAGTATACACTCACTAGAGGATTCAAAGAAATTAAAGGAAGCATTTGATCCTGAAGTAAATACCGTATTTCTTGGCCTGAGTAAGAACGAGAAAGGTGAGTATACTGATAACTTGATATACTTCAAGAGAAGTATATATATATATATATATATATTTTTTTTTTTNTATATATATATATATGTGTGTGTAAATTTAATAAACATCTCAATATGAAGGATTAATAACATTTCAATTTTAAGGATATAAACATTCATATGATTCAAGATCTTGTCAAAACTTTTCTTCAATCGTCTTTTTAAAATTCTTTGTTATGTTCTTGTATAAACTAAAAGGAGTAAAGTTTCATCAAATAGCAAGAAAATTTCGGATAATTTTTATCTTGTGATTGGCTTTCAAAACTCTATTTTTGATTAGTTCAAATTTCGTATTATACTTGACAATGTAAAGAAATTCTTCCCATTAAAAGAAATTAGCTGTGAATATAAGTCTTGATAAAACTAATTTTAATGACATTAGCAAATGTTTAGGAAAAATGAATCCATTTGATTATAAATGCCACTGTGATGAGAACGAATTTTTTGAATTTGCTGATAAATATCTAACGGGTAATTTAAACATTATTTAAAATTTTGAACTAAGAAATGAAATGTTAAATGGTACTCTACATAGACCCATTTACCATACATCTTTTCTTAAATTTTTAAAATGCTTTCCTAGTGATGACAATAGCTTTTGCTTAAAGATTTTCCATAGATCCTCTCTATCTTTAGATCTTTTTACAGAAGAGGTAGTTTATCAATGCTTTAAAAATTGCATTCTTAACAAAAATTGAACTATAAAAACCAGTAACAATTAAAATTATTTTTCTAAAACTCATCTTTCTATAATGAAAATCATATATTCTAAAAGAAATATATGATTTTCTGTAAAAAATTCTATGCTGAGCTTTTAAATAAGGAATTAATAAAAAATAAAAAGGTAATCAATTGAAATAATAATAATATTATCATTAAAAAATTTTGCTTCTTATAAGAGACTGGAAATTAAAATAAATGATGTACAATTCCTTTGCTTAATTATTTGTCAAAAATTTCATAAAATATTAACCCTCCTGGCGTCAAGCCCGTTATATTACGGGCTTCATTTCCTTGCTAAAAGCGGCTTGCCCGTGTTTTCACGGGTTCACGATCTGCCTCTGGAGCGGCGANATTTCATAAAATATTAAATGTAGAACAATCATTTGTAGATCTAATATTTGCTTAACTAAACCTCAAACTACTTAAATAAAATTATTAGCAATATTATTAAGTATTATTAGGGTTATAATATTATTTGGATTTAATCGTAATCGTTCAAGTGTTGAACCTTAAATGAGTAAATTTATTAGCTAGGAAGATATTTTAATCAAACACAAATATGTGTTTCTCTGTAGAAATCTTGTCTTTTTCCAACGGATTTGGTTTTTGAATCTTCAAAATATTGGGGTAGCCACAATTTGGAAAGTATGGTCCTGATATTTTAGACAAAAGAACAATGGAAAGTACGGTCCTTATATTTTAGACAAAAGAACAATGGAAAGTACGGTCCTGATATTTTAGGCAAAAGAACAATAGAAAGTACGGTCCTGATATTTTAGACAAAAGAACAATGGAAAGTACGGTCTTGATATTTTAGACAAAAGAACAATGGAAAGTACGGTCCTGATATTTTAGACAAAAGAACAATTTAAAGTACGGTCCTGATATTTTAGACAAAAGAACAATGGAAAGTACGGTCCTGGTATTTTAGACAAAAGAACAATGGAAAGTTTCCGTCCCATTGACAATTTTATCGCCATCGTATTTCGCTAAATTTCCGAAACTAACAAAGCGAATCAAAAATATTTTGCACACAATTAGAAAGCTTTTTTTTCCAACAGTGTATAAAATTAGTTTTGTAATAAATTATTATTTAGTTTACTAATGATTGATAAATTTTGAAGTGTTGGATACACCAATTTTTGCACCTATTTAATTTTATATGACAAATTTTAAAATTTGTAGGGATTAGGTCAAATAGTTATTGAGAAACAAAATTATTTCCTTGAAATGACGAAATGTGCAAAAAGCCGAATTAACATTAAGGGGTCTAAATTTAAACTGCTCTTCTACCTAAATGAATAGGAACATATTTCTCAGATTTTGAATACGTTCTTATTTTAAGAGTCTAGAATGCAAATCTTTCGAATAAATAAATGCTCGTAAAGAAAAAGTACGTGTTTGTGTCTGATCTAATAGCTAAAACATTTTCCCCCTAATTAATTAGCATATTTATGGTTAGGTTTTTGAATTATTAAGGTTAAGTCTTAGTACGTAAAAATTTGATCACATGATCAAAATTTATTCAGGGTGTTCGTTTTTTTTGAGCATTGTACTTAAAGTTCTTTTTTTATTTATCTTTTCTGTTTCAAGAATTAATTAAAGTTATATCCACTCCTCAAAAAAATGTCGCATTGCATTTTTTTACTTGTTTTTCTTGATAGTTAACAGTTTTCCGGCTCATATTAAATAAGTGACAAAATTATTGTATCTGCCGTACCTTGATTGAATTTGTTTTAGAAATTTTTTTTGACAAAATATGATCTGCAAAAGAAATAAAAGCTGTATTTTTCTTATATTGTAAATTAAATATTTTTTGCATATACAGTGGGGATAGGTCCGCATAAAAAGGATGGAGAATCTCAATACAACTCTTCTCCGGAAGCATCTTCGTACACAGCTAGAGGCTTCTCATTATAAACTTGTTCGCTTATTTTCGGTTAGACGGACGCAAGCTAAAAGTCATCACAAAACTTAGATCTCCATCAACTTTTTTTAAATTATTATTTTTCAATTTTGAACTAAATGGACGCTGTTAAATAAATTGAAATAATCTTATTTTAAATAAATCATGTAAATTTTATGATAATATTATATGTTCTCTAGTCCAAACTTCTATTCAAATATGTTCAAAGATAGCTGTTTTATTGTAATTTTATGTATAGGCGACCAACAGGGCGAGCATGTTAAGTTAGTGGCCAACTCAGTCAAGGAAATGGTTGCTGTTGTTGACGTATGCCTGTTCAGGCAGAGGGGGTGCGATTGCTCTTGTTTTCCAGTGGCGCCATCTATGCCCAAGAATTCGACTTCTGCCACACCATACGTCTCTCCCGTTTATAGGGTGGATCCATTCATGCATCCATCCATTCATCCACAGATCGTAATTTTGACCTGAATCAGAGAACGATCCATCTCCAATCTAGTACCCCCAGAGGTATTGATTTGTTATTGAACATGGGGGATTTTCGCAACTCGACAGATTTAACGTGCATCAGTCATCATTTACTACACGGGTAGTCTTCGGCCGGCGAGGTTCGAATCAGTCAATGAAATAAAACAACAATTTTGTGCCTATTTGAATACGATTTTTGACAATAATTGTTTGAAAACGCAAAATCAACATGAAATTATGAAAATGTATCTACTAAAAGTGACGTTTTAAATGCACAAGAGCAGTTAGCTCCAACTGAGGAGAAGCCTCTGGTGGTATATGACGACATTTTCGGACATGAGCTGTTACGCTTTAGACGTATGCTACATCCCCTTTAAGCTTGTTTCATAATTAATGGGACACCCCATATAGATAAAAACTTCCTTAAAAACAAAAAAAAAAACTATAAATTTAATTGAGATGTTAACATTGTTCTCTTTACTTTTTTTAAATTTCAAACTGAGCAGGTGGTTTCATATGGTCTGATGGGTCACCTGTTGATTATGTTAACTGGGATGTTGAAGAACCAGTGGTTGATAATGAAGATAGATGTGCTCAAATGGATATGGAAACCTTAAAGTGGAGAACAGTTTCATGTCTTGTGACGCGTCTAACTGCTTGCCAAATTAGGAAAGGTGAAGTATTTTTATTGTTAACATATTACAAAGTGAATTTCGAAGAACAAAGTAAATTGATAGAACAATTTTTGCTATCAAATTTCTTGACCACCATCCTGACCGAAATTGTTAATTTAATATTATTTTCAATATTCTTGAATGTGATCCTTAAATGGAGAGCGCATTCTTATTCAAGAGAAGTAACAAAATACATAAATGTGTGTATTTGATAAGTAATAAGATATACCCACTTCACAGATTTTTTTACCATTAACACTAGGTTTACGGACGTCTCTTATATACTTATCTCCACGAACAAGCGTCAATTTGACGCATGTGCGAATACATATAACAGTACTTACAAAGATGCCAAACTTGCTCCGGACACCAAATATATATTTCAAGTGGTAGTTTATCAATTGTGATTTTTGGTTTAACAAATTCAATTTAGTTGATTTTTATCCACCACTATTTCTAAATAATTCGCAGGCTTATATAATTCACCTCTTTATTATTGCAAAATTTATTTAGTAGTTATTTACCATTTTTTAAAATTATTTTGGCGTGTCTGGAGCAGTTGGCATAAAGAAAAAAATGTGAGATATATATTCATGAAATATTCTAGTATTTTATTTTTCAATACTCGAACTAAGTAACAGAAACTTTCAAACTCTGACATTGACATTCTGCGTTTGTTCTTTTTATTATTGCTAATTGGCAACAGTTGTCTATCGCTTGTTTCATTTGAGATAACGATATCGGATAACGGATCGAAGTGTTGTCGGTACATTCCTATTTGTTATTGATGTGATGTTTGCATGTTTGCTCAAAATTTTGCCTAAATTGCGATCGCGTCAAATTGACGCATATTGGTAGAGATAGTTATACCACAAAGAGAATTTCAACGCTTTTGACGAAAATAGACTTCAATATATATTTACCTCGATCAATGCATAAAAGTCACTGCAAGAGATAAAATAAAAATGCAAACGGGTTTTGTAATTTTTCTCATAAAATTCGAAATGCGTCCAAATGACTCGTCCTGTGAACCTAGTGTTAAGAAATATTTTATTGGAAAAATTTGATTACCTTTATCGAGTTCCTGAGTGATAAATGACATATGCGTAGCTACCATTTTTTACTATTTCCTAGAAGGATTAATCCAGAGGTAGTGAAACTGTAATTAAATTAAAATAGGGTACTTGAATTTCAAGAAGAGCCCACACATCGGACTTATGACGTCAGCGTTAGCTGTTCGTTTAAAAACAAAATGGGCTTGCTAAAGCTGAGCTAAGTTTCTCCACATAAGTTAGAACGTTAATTAACGTGAAGTAACTTAAATACATCATTATATCGCACATCGAAATTTTTGATATATAATTCTTTCTCGTTTATTGATTTTATTTCACTTAGATTTATTATAAGCTTATAAAATTTATTTCAACCATGATCTTGAAGTGTTGTTTTATCGCCCTAATACAATTGAGACTCATTCAGAAGGTTAGCAAATATTTTTCATCCAGACTGTTGCCCTTCAACATATAAGAAATAATTTATAATCATCTTGCTTAATCGATTCATTATCGATTAAGGTTTGCTTTGTTTGAATCATTATTTTCGTATGTTATATTAATTTGAAGAGAACCTATAAACTATATTCATAGATCTAAATCTGCGATACTACAGAGTATCACAAGATAGTTTTTTTCAATCTTAAATCAGAATCAAACTAAACCAACTTCTTGATGGATATAATTAATATCAATTCAAATCGTCCGCATAGTCACCATTTAAGTGTTGTTTTATCCCCCTAATACAATTGAGACT